TACTAATTAGTATTATAGTCTTACAGCATATTTCACCCTTTTTACCCGTAAGTTTCGTAGTCTTATTAACATAATAACAGATTATATGGACGATATTTCACTGGCGTTCGGTCAGCAGTGACACATTGTCCGTATATTATTTGATGCAGGGATTGCAACCTCATATAATATGCATTCTACGAACAATTCCAAATCATAGCATAATTTAAATTGTACAAATAGGGTAATTTTAGTGCCAAGATGTTTTACATCACAAATATGAGAAGTCTAATGTAAATGAATATACTAAATCTAGTTCAATATCTAGGAACTGCATATTCAAGAAAACTTTCGACTGTTATTGTACATTGAATATTATTAATATAAAGATTATATAACCATAGAACTACTGAATATTATGATATATAGAATATTAGTATTGAATTATTGAAAGATATAATTCACACAGAGTTAACAATGTATCCTGTTTCAAGTATAATGGAAAACGATGTATTATATTCTATGAGTCATATATTCTACTTATGAATTATGTACTTTAGGACTATATATTTTAAGATTATTCTGTTATTTTATACTTGTTTTATTGTTGCTAGCATACTATTCAATTAATTATTGCACTCTAATGACAACTCTAAATTGTAGCACAGTTTAAATTATACAAATGTAGCAAATTCTATAAATCGCTACAAAAGAGTAATATGCTATAACTTCAGAAAATAAATATCTTTTGATCTGCCGACTCACCTGGGTGTGAATTAGAAGGAACTCCAAGGATGATTTAATGAAGGACTTTTTAGAAGTTTAAAAGTCAATAGTCATCCGTATGTAAGAGTACTGATGTGACCTGCTATTTAGTTCGTAAAAGTGTTTTTTGATAAAATTTAAGCCACTTGCATGAGAATGAGGAGTTCTGAGTAAAATTATTGCATATTCTGTGGAGTATTTTTGAAGCATCGGTAAATTATCAAAAGAGATTAGAGATTCGCTTCGAATAATCAGGAACCTCGGATTTCACTGCTTTTAATTTTTTAAACGGTGCAGTAGCTATAGTACGTAAAATCGAAAAAACCATAGTCAAAAGTGTCAGAAAAGCATATTTAAAGTAAAACTTGTGTTAATGCCTCGCGTGGCAAAACAGAACAACGTAATAAAATTCAAGATTTTTCCAACACATATTTTTCGGTAAACTTCTTTTCTTGCTTATTTGAATTTTAAATGACGAGAAAGAAGTGTATATTTAAAATATAACATTCGAAACAAATTTTTGCCTTGTTTCTACAATCTAAAAGCAGCCGAAAGGAACATTAAATTTGTTGATATAAGTTTTTTTCTTTAATTTTAGAATATCTGAAACGGTGACTTGTAATAAATAACATGTCATAAGAGAAAGAGAAATAAGTAAAGAAAAATGAAACAGATTAATTTTGTTAAAACGTAATGCGAAGCGTAGTATTAAGAATATAAAAAAGCGCTAGTCGAAAGGAACACGAGACAAACATTTATTACAGTTCCTGCGTGAACTACGAACATTAATAATAAATACTCCTCTAATATTTATTTCAGTACAATGTTCTGAAGATAAATTATACAACCAAATGAATATCATAAAAACAACAGAAGAATATTTCTAAATTTTTTCTAAACTGTTAACTCCACGTTTGATAAGTCAGTATGGGATATGGTGCAATTTTTGGGGGTGGCCCCAAGAAAGTGGGGGCCCTAAGCTACAGCTTGTGCAGCTTATACGTAAATCCGGCAGTGGATATTATATGTGTGTGTGTTTACAAATAATCTAATAAGTATTATCCAAGATATTTAGTCTTATTTTAAAATATGAAGACTGGTAAAAGAATAGTAGATATATGCCTACGATTTCTTTTTAGGGAATATAGTGAGCTTGTACCTTTTCTCTATTATCTTATAAATTATTAACAATCTTTTAACAAGTATCTGAGAGGTGGTTGCAGCATCAGCCAGCGATTTATTACACGGGCATCGATTCCATCTCCCTCTCTTGAGTAAAAATTCTACATTTTAAATGAGGTTATTTGAACATGACATAGCACACGGGAAGCACCTGCCTAAGAGGAGGTATGCATTCCTCAAGGCCTTTGTAAGAGAAATTGAATCGCATATACGTTACACAAGAGGAAAGTAAAGAAAACTAACGTTGCAGCCAGCTTATTTACCTCAGACTGAACCTCGGTCGTCAACTCCCAGTATTTAGTAGTCTTAATTACTAAGACACTGTGAGGCATCTGTGAGGTAGATATTTTAATTGTTTTCCAATTTGAGAAATTGCTTGTGCAAATTTATTCAAAATGCTCTTCAGAACGTACAGGATGTAGTACCTTGTCCGTGGTATCCATGGTAGTTATAGAAAGTTAAAAAATATGGCAAGTAATTTTTTTTTGGAAGTAACAGTTAACAATAGTATGTACGTCTACCTATTAAGGAAACTTTTCAATTAGAAATGACGTTATCTGGGTATTTTTAAAACGGCTTCTGTATATTTGCATTTGGAACCGGCTTTTAATAACTGCATTTCTATATATAGATTTACTTTGCAACATTCCATTGTTAGCTATATAATAACTGGCATTCAAAATTTAAGCAAAATACATAGTCAGCATGATTCAACTATCTTAATGTTAATCGGTAGGTTATTATTTTAACTACAAACTTAACTTTCCACAATTAATAACTTTTTTAGATAATATTTTGCCCATTGCGTCATAAGAGGGCTGCAATTTGCAAGAAATTTAACTATTTAGGGGTTCGTCATTAAACGATACATTTGAAAAATGCCACTGAATTGATACTTAGGATGTGCCATTTCAGACGTGATATTTTAATTCACAGAAGATAAAATCGCAATAAAACATAAAATATAGAACGTTTCATAAAAGGTTATGACTAAAGACCCCGGAACGATTTGTCATAAGCCTACTGTTTCAGTTTAAGAAATAAATCAGTTACGATAGGCTTTCAGAATATAGAAATTATCATTACTTGATCGTAGTTAAGAAAATGCACGAAACTTAAAATTTATACGGGCCTCTTCGAAACGAAATGGTGAGTTACTAAAACGTCATAGTATAATTAGTAAAACAGAAGTATACAAGTAAATAATTTAATCAAAAATAATTTTCAGACTAAAAACTAACACAATTAAGAAAAGTTTATTACTAAAGATTAAAAAAATTAAAAATTTGCTAAAAAATTAAAAAATATAAAGATAATAAGAATATGAATATGTGCTATAGGATCCTTCATACGGATTTCAGTTTAACACAGAAATTAATTTTAGGTTATACAATTACAATATGCCTTTTGATTTCAGAATCGTAGAAATTAAAGCTATTAAACGCCGATGGCAAATGGTAGGGAAAATGGTATTTCGAATTTGTAAATTAACTCTAAATGGACACTTTTGTATTTTAAAGTACTTAATTATTTAAAGTTTCCTGTGTTACGTCTCGGGAGACGGGGGATCATCACGAGATCACGTATGGGAGCCTTAAAAATATTTTCCTAAGAAACAATATTTCTTATTTTGACAAGACACTAGATCCTCGACAATAAACGCTTAGAAAAAGATAAATTTAAGCAAAAAGCAAATGAACAGAAATTTATATTGCCATGTTATCGAAATTATTAGTACAAAGGGGCTTTGTTCCTAAAGGACTATTGTTTTCGTTTTGCGATTTTGCTTTGTCTCACTATAAATGTCCATGTCCCCGTTTCACTTTTCAAACTGTTGCCACCAAATATTAGAGTCCTACATTATATTTGAAGAAATTAAATAATGAAAGATCTGCATAAATGTATGTATATTTGCATAAATGTATATATTGTGATAAACAACGGTACATAGAGCCATCGAATTTTGAATGACGTAATCCTACTGCAAATATGGGCATGTGAAAGCACAAATTTAAAATTTGGAATTTGTTTTATTATCGATTTCATATTTTGTAAAACTGTAAAGAATTTTTGATTAACCAACTCAAGGATTTCAAAGCGAGCAATGGTAACGTTGTACAGAAAAAACATTTTTATCTCCAGCGCGCGAGACTCTGTATCGGAAATTCTAAAGGGATATGCTCAATTTAAAACTATTTTGTGATATTGCTCTTGAACTGAATTTTATGGTTTAAGTGCGAAGAACGTGATATTTAATAAATAAAAGAAACAGACAAAATGTTAAAAAAAGTCCCTTTGGACGAAAAATTTAAAATCTGAAAACTTTCAGATTTTCTTTTCTTTCTTTCTTTTTTTTTAAGAAGCAACGTAGTATCTGGAAAATTCTCTGAGAGTGGAAAAAGTTTTAAATTCACATACGTTTTAGTAAATTGTGTCATGCGATCAAATTTGTAGCAGTATAAAGTCTTACCCCAGTTCAACTTTTCAATTAAAACTACAGATCCGTGATCATCGGTAAAGAGATAATTAATCTGGCAATTATTTTGAAAATCTTGCATACAAACGGAGTTTTAAAACTTATATATATATATATATTTTAGATCGAGAGTAATGTTACAGATTAATGTCTCCACAGACTAATGAATATGGTCAATAACTTGCATTATGCTTAATAAAAATAGCTTTATGAAAGTTCAGCAGGATTCAGAAGGATAATTATCGTATGTAACTAAAATGAAATAATAGATGTAATGGGTATAAGGAAATTACCTTTTCGGAGTAACTCACGACTTAAATCATAGATTCAAGATAATTCATCAACTTTTGTAGAAATTATTATACCTTTTAACGCTGGAATCGTAAAAAATACGAATAAACTCCCATTCGGTTATCGAACCACGGATTGCCATTTTGTTAGCTAGATATGTAAAACAGTGCATCACAAAGCTACACATAATAGAGGTATTATAGGCATACATCACACGCCTCAAAGTGAAATCTAATTCTGGAATAACCGTTTTGTGTGTCTAGCAAACAGACTGAGAAGGGGAAAGAACTACATAAATATTTCATACCTGGTTTGATTAAGGAGTTAATATGGAGGTCTGCGGATTACAGTTTCGTATTGCATCCTTAAATCAGTGGGCTTACAAGCTATACGTCGTACAGTCGTACGATGAGACAAGTTCTGAAGCTCATATCCCAGATGAAACCTAGACGTAAAACATGAATTAATAAATTTCTTAACTTTAAATATATTTTATAAAATGAAAATTGTATTACTTGAAATTATGAATGCGATTTACGCAAATAAATGGTATTCTCAAATAAATGAATAAAGATATGGAATCTGGTACGGTGCGGTCAAAACAAAATTAAAATAAAAAATTTTTGAAACATTAAACCCTAAAAAATCCTGATGTTAATGTAATTAAACATTAAGAAATATTTCATCAACATTTCATCTCTAATATAATTACGCCCACCAGCGGCCAAGCGATAAAGCCGCTGAATACTGGTTCTGGGTTCTGGTTTCACATACAGGCGAACGGGCTGGCTGCATGGGCGTTTCCATGGTTTCTCTCATTTGTGATGTGGATATGAGCCAGTTTCCTCGGAAAGTATTTCACGAACGCATCCCTTCCCTCAGGCAGAAAGCTCTCGAGTACACGGCCGTAATCAAATGAAACAATCTAATCTAATGATTCTATCAAATGAAATCTAATCTAATCTAATGAAAAATAATTTCTCGATTTCGATATTCATAATGGAGAAGGCAATCATATCTGTATATATCCATAAGTGTATGTGTACTTTGAATTTCATAGGTTCCAAACAAAGTATAAATATTTACTCTCAATTGCGTAATTTATTTTATAAAATTCCGAACATATGAATTTTGAAATTCACGGTCAAATCATTTAATATAGAAACTACAGAAAGGTTTAAGCCTTAAAACCAGATCTCAATGCCATCTCACAAAAATGCTTAAAAGACTGCGAAATAAATTTTTCCCAAATTATTTATTCTGAAACAATTCTAAAGCTCTTGGTATGTTTTCTTTCCTTAAGCCATTGAAAAGATAAAGTGAGAAGATAACTATTTGAACGGTAAGAATACTTTTCTCTAAGAAAATAATGAATAAGATATGAAGCGATGGAATAAAAAATAATGATACAAAAAATCAGTCTATTCGAGAAACAAAACGAATGCATGACATACTAATACATTGCATTTCCCTTACATTATATTTCATCAGGTTATCATAGCTTCAATAATTCTTGTGGGAAATACCAGTCAGCAGGTACGGTTATAAGATACTTCTCCCGCCTTTTTAGCATGCCTTCGTGGTGTAGTGGTCAGCACGCTTGACGCATGTTCAAGAGATCTGTGGTTCGAGTCCTGGCGAACTGCTCATTTTCCTCTTTCGTTCTTTGAAATAACCTAATGTCTCTATACGGTATGATATATTTAATTATGCAAAGCACTCGAGCGCTGTCTGCCTAAGTGGAGGGATGCCACCGTGGTGGACTTTCTAACAGAACCTGGCTCGTATACACATTACACATGGGAAAAACCATGCCGGGATTCGAACTTCAGACCGAACTACCAGTGCTCAGCGACTTTACCGCTCGGCCCCTGTTCGGCTACGTGGTCAGGTACGTAAGGTCATTGAAAATTAAACACCTTGGTTCAAATCCCGCGAACGAGTTGACTGCCTAGGCAGGGACACATGTGCCTTTCGTGAATAACATGTTGCGTAATATTAATATGAGTTATTTTTCTCAGTTCTGCTTGAAGGTGTTCCTTCGCTTAGGCAGAATGCCCTCGTGCGTATTATCTTATTCCATATATGAGGCTTTGTATGTCCCCCTTTTGGAAGTTATCTTAGTTGTTATTGTTTTCTAATCATAAACTACTTGATTTGTCTTTCAAATTATAATAATGAATTCTTCATCGCAGTAATAAACACCGTGATTCAAAAATAACGTTCTTTAAAATTTTATCATTATTTCACAATTTTGGCAATGTACCGCTAAAACGTTCAAAAAATAAATTATTAAAGAATGATATGTTCTTTACTAACTTTCATAAATACCATTCATAAAAATTTAAGATATCATTTGTATTATTTTATAATTATCTAACTAATAGTTGTCTTATACACATTTCTACCGCTTACATAATTAATGGCAAATGTTTATGAAACCATACATAACATAACTGCTCTTTTGGCATAGAATAATTGTTGGCGGGATACTAAGCATTGAGTTTATTATATTTTTACTTCTTGTGCGAAATAATGAAAACATAGTAATCGCGAAAAATTTCGGGTATCATATTTCAACCATTAAAAAAAAAAAAAAAAAAAAAAAATTCCATTCTGATCGTTCCTGAATCAATCTTGACAATTGTTTTATGTGACTTTTGAATACACGGACAGAATTAAGGCCTATTTCTTCCAATATGGGTTGTAAAATTGGTTTAAAATGGACTTTTTTCCCTTTGGCGTCTGTATTTACCTATGCATTTATGTATCTCACCTAACTCAAAAACGATTAGACGCAGGACGTTGAAATTTTGTATACGGGACTGCTATAATATGTAGTTTCTTTTATTGCAATCCGCAGTACCATGCGTATACACATACGTATATATATATATAATTAAAGACATAAAGTAAGAAATTTAGAACTAATATTTCAGAAAGAGCAGAAATTGAAATTCATAATTAATAAATTTCAAATAATCATAGAAATGCAAGAATAAATTTAAAAGTGTTAAAACCAAAACATTTCATGCAAGCAAAACTCCTCTTCAAAAATTATGAAATTTAAAGAAAAATGAACAAAAATAGAAGAGGAATTCAATCAATCTCAATGTCACTTCGGGGAGAGGAACTTTGAAATTAATTGAAATCTCTCTTCTACAAAAATCCTTGATTTTCTGTATCCAGAATTAGCCGATGAACCATTTCAATATATTTAAATTATAATTATAATAGTTCACCCGAAAATTCTAGCCCTTCCCCAAAGCAAGGAAAAACATTAATTCTAATTAGAAACATTAGGATAATCTTAAATAAAGAGAATTCTATCCCTTTAAAAGAATTAAAAACGAAAGTGAAAAACAAAAGTGAAAAAACAAAATACTTCAGTGAAAATTTTTTAAATTTAAATGTTAATCTTTAAACAATATATATATATATATATAGGATGTATATATATGTAAGAAAAAGAATATGTAAAAGATTAAATTAGCAGCCTAAATTAATTTTCCTTATCTATTCTAAAAATAGTAACTCATCTTTGCACTGCGTCATTTCGAGAAAAATGTATGTCATATGATTCTTACGTAATTTTGGTGATGCAAATGGAACTAAAATTTAAGCAGCTTGTTTGCAAATTCTTGCACGCTAGCCAAATTGTTTGTTTCTGCGTAGAAACTCTAATTTTAATTGTAAAGTTGTTCTTTTAACTGTTTTAACTGTATCTGGTGTTTTATGTTTTCCTGTATGTTACAATTTTTAATGAAGATGTTTTGAGTTTTTATGTATTTTTGCTTTGCCGCGAAGTGAGAACTGAATTAATTGAGTAAGGCATATATCTCTAATGAAATTCAAGAAAATAAGTTTAAATAAAATGCAGCAAAAATTTGTATTATTTAATAGGTTATACGAAGTCATGTGGTGTCCACATGAGATTTTTGTAATCATTATGTAGCTTGTAAGTCAAACAAAAAAAAAGTACAGTCTAGCCATTTTATTAACCGGATATTTTCTGAAAACATGCTGCTTTGTAAGAAACTGTTACAGGTCTCAGAAGAAACAGTAATGAATGAGTTACTAATTAGTGGCGGATTAAATTTAGTTATATAAAGTCTTCTTGTCTTCTGAATACAATGTCAAAGACTTTGCTATGATAGAATAGTTGAGAAACATTAGTCTAAATTTCAACTAAATCTGTCAACATTTTTAGAAATACGAATAAAATTAAACCTGATTTATGAATACAATGACGGATTACCTTACCGTTACTCACCTCGCTGAATGCAGATTTATCCAGGATAGTAATTGAGGCATGAGAATTTTTAATTACTTTTAGCAGATTAACTCTAGGACTGAAGCTAAGATATTTCGAGATTCGCGAATAGAACATTTTTCGTTCAACTTCAGTATAATTCCAACATACGAACTGTTAATTGTAATTACTTGCAGAGCGTTGTATTTCCCAAATACCATTTAAATCTGCCTGCTTCCTATGTGATATGAGCTGAAAACAAGGGGGCAGTATAAATTAAAATATAGTATGTAATTCTCAATGCAAAAGAAAACATAAGAAATTTTTGAAGAAAAAATCAAAACGGAGTTAAAAAAAAATTAATTGAGTATCTGTTAGATAATGTAACAGCACAGATAAATAAATATTGTCGTCATGTATAATGTAACAGCTTACGAAAAATGGAGTATATTTATACCTTTTTTAAAGATTAACTTGTCTTATCTTTAGAATTAACTTTATTGATTCGAAAAACAAAGTTTTATCAAACGCAAGTTTTTTACTCTATAAAAGTAAAAGCGCTCAAATAATATGCGTTTGAAAAAGAGATATTGAGTTTATCACTCGGAATGCACTGAATTAAACGTAAGTTTGTGACTACTTTTAAAATGTGTATACACGTTTTGTTTCGTTTGAATGTTATCGATAATTGGAGTTTTACAATTATCATGGGTTTCAGGTTTAATAAGGCCCAAAAAAGAATTATAAGCAGTTGCTTCGCAGTATTAATCCCTCTGACATTTTAAATATATTATTTCATCTGTAGTAAAGGAAACGCTAATTAAAACATCGGAATTGTTACGATACCAAGATATAGTTTTAGTTTTGGGAGAAAAAGCAAACAATATTCTTCAAAATGTTCCTGAAATAAATTAGTTCTCTAACTATCCAGACAGTTTAACCGAATAAAACGTCTATGCATGCAAACTCATGAGGATGTTTCAAAGCGCAACTAATTTAAGTCATTCTGAATCTCTAATAGGGTTTGAAGACGCAAACATTGCTTCCTAACTACATTAAAAGCTAAGATTATAAGGTATTTCTCCCGTTCCTAGCGTTCATTCGTGGTGTAGTGGTTCTGCACGCTGGGCCGGTATTCCAGAAGCCCGTTGTTCGATTCTCGGCGAAGGCGGGAATCGAACCACGGGCGAAGG